AACCCGTGGTGCCAGAGCCCAGGCCTGAAGTAACCCAGCCAAATGTCAAATGGTTCCCTGCTCGTCATTCGGTATTGACCAGGCATTGCGACAGGGACAGCCAGAAGTGGAAGACGAAGATGATGCAGGTAAAGCGAGAGGGCAACCTCCAGGAGAACGCCGACAAGATTATGAAGGTTCTCCAGGAGTTCTGGAACAGCCACCACGCCCATGACATGTCATAGTGGTTTCAGTGATGGCGAGCTTGCGCTTGCATGGGTTGCCGATGCATCCGAGCTCGGCGGCAGCGCGCGTGTCCGCGCAGTTTTTGGTCTCGACCGTTTGGGGTTCAGGTCGAGCCTTCCCTTGTCCCAGCACAGTTGATCAGCTGCAGTCAGCTGCCCGTGGCCATGGGCGTTGCGCGGGTGCTGCGACGCGAGCCTCTGTGAATCTTGATGTTGACATTGACACCGATGGTTGTCATACCGATGCGACTGACAACCGTCATCATCATCATCATCGTCATCATCATCATCACCATCATCACCATCATCACCATCATCATCATCATCATCATCATCACCATCACCATCACTATCAGCAGCATAATCATCATAATCATCATCAGCAGCATCATCATCATCAGCATCAGCATCAGCATCAACATCATCGTCATCATCCGCATCAGCAGCATCGGCATCACCACCAGCAGTAGCAGCAGCATCAGTATGCACCCTCCTCCCCATCCTCGCCCACGCCCCATGTGAGCACAACAACGCAGGGATAGAGAGAGCTATAGAGAGAAAGGGACGGAACGAGTGAGAGAGATAGAGAACAATAGAGAGGGAAATGTACAGAGATGGGTGGTGGGTGGTGGGATGGAAGGACGGAGGGATGGGGGGGGGATGAACGGAAGGGGGCGAGAGGGAGGGAACGAGAGAGAGCGAGAGAGATGAATATGTACCGAATGTACTTGTAGGAATCTGCTGCGGACGCCGTCGGAGGTAGCAGAAAAGATGAGGAGGGCGGTGCAGAGGAGGGCGGCCAGTTGAGCTACAGAGGGGCCGCGGACCACAGGGACGATCCAAGTCAAAATGTTACAACCTCTACCTGGGGGTTGGTACAATTGTTGCAACTCCCAGGTGGAGGTTGCAACAAATGTTACAACCTCTACCTGGAGGTTGTAACATTTCAACTTCATGTTATCATATTGTTTTGTTAAGACAATGTTGCAATCTCCAGGTAGAGGTTGCAACAATTGTTCCAACTCCTACCTGGGGGTTGGAACAATTGCACCAACCTCCAGGTAGAAGTTGGAACATCGATGCAACTCTTGGGATGTGGGCCGAGCTCGCGGGGCAATCCAGATCATTCCTGTTCTTTGATGTGTTCCCACTGTGTCCGCTCGCACCCACTGCGGCCGTGCTCTCTCCCGCCCCTTGCTGCCCCGCGCTGGCGTTGACATCGAGTTCCAGGACTCGCGCGCACCCCCCGCGCGCGTTGCAAAGTGCGAGGAGGGGGGGGGAGGGGGAGGAGGATGGGGGGGGCAGGATGAGGAGGAGAGGGATGCGGAGGATGAGGAGGAGGAAGCTGAGGGATACCAGGAGGAGGAGGATGGTGATGAGGACGAGGATGCGGGAGGGAGGGGGGAGGGCGGGTGGGGTGGATGGGGAGGGGAGGAGGGATGAGAGGGAGGGAGGGAGGGAGGCAGGGAATCCTCTTCTTCCTCATCGGTATCGTTCTATCTCCCTGGATGTCCGTCCCCCTTGGCCCCGCTGCCCCCCGTCTGAGTAGGGGGGATGGGGGAGGGGATGAGGGCGAGGGGGCGGGCTGGCCTGAGGATGGAGAGGGCGCTGCGGATTAGGATGGATGACTACGAGGAGGATGCGGGGGATGAGGGGGATAAAGAGGATGACGGGGAGGAGACATACGACGATGCGGAGGAGGATGGGCAGCATCAGCAGCATGATCAGCAAACGCACGAGCAGGTGCATGCCCAATATCATGATGATGCTAACGCAGATTGTGCAACAGCCGTGTTGGCTCGAAAATTTGATTGGCATTAGAATCCCGACAGTCGCGCCAGTTGGTCGCTCGCAGTGCGCGATGGACCCAAACTCGCCCGCTGGCCGCATCTTGAGCGCGTTGCGCTCGAGGGTCGCCTTCGTGACCGCGCAGGTGCAGGCTGGCTTGCCGCAGGCCGCCTTGCTCGAGAGCCAGTGCCTACAGGTGATTGCCACCATTCGAGATGCTCAAGGGCTGGCAGTCGATGCCTGCACCACAATCGTCGAGGAGCTCAACAGGGGGCCGTGGACCAGGGAGCAGACCGTGGCGATTGCCAGCGCACTCACTGACAGGGCAAACGCTACGGGGCCTGGGCGTTCGCAAAAGGGTCCCAGATGCCAGCAGAAGTGTACTGAGCTGGTCAAGTACTTCACTGCGGCGGACTGGGCCGCCCTCGAGTCCGTGGATAATTCCGACGACATGAAGGTCAGGAATGTCATTGCCAAGCGAATGTTTCTCCTCGGCTTGTCGTGCCCGTGCGAGGACCTCCTCAAACGGGCTACTGCAGTGCTAATTGTAACGAGTCAGTCGGGGCACCGCGTTGAGCCGTCGGAGTACGTGAAGTACGCGAAGCTCATCAAGACCACCATCAAGGCCAATGACATGAACGCCAAATACAAGTACCCCTTCGACCACATGGAGACCTACCCTGTGAACCCCAACGACCTCCCCAGTGCCATCTATCGCCATGCGTATGCCGACGGGTTCGGGCCATCGGATATCCCAGCAGGGGTGGCAGGGAAGATCGATGCCCTCATGCCTGACATGATGTACAGGACCTCGCACAAGAAACTCAGGACTCAACCACCCACCGCGCAGTTGCCACAGTTCCAACAGTTCCCGATGCAGCAAGTGCAAGAGATGGTCAGCGCAGGCTTTCAGCAGATGGCCGCCGCGATGGGCTTCCAGATGCCAGGACACGGCGGTGTGAACATCGACATCTTGCGGCCGCCCAATTCGGTGAGCGCGGGCGCCAACGGCAATCGTTTGATGCTCAACGGCGGCCTTCCTAACCTGGCGGTCGCTCCCGCGGCCCAGCAGCGATCTGGCATGCCTGCACTTCCTCCAAGTCCACTCGGAGCTCCTCTCACAGACGCCAGCAGTCCGACGGCCGACAGCAGTCCTGGTGTTGCTGGATCCCCGATCGTCGGCACCACGGCGGAGGCTGGTGATGTGGGCGGTGGCGGGATAGAGGAGTTCGAGGCGAAGATGGTGGCGGCGGCGAGTTCGGCCAAGGCCAAAGCGAAGGCCAAGGCCGCGGCGGCCAAGGCCGAGGCAGCGGCGGAGACGCCGAAGGCTAAGGCGAAGGCGAAGGCGAAAACTTCCCCGAAGTGCAAGGGCGCGGGCACGACCAAGGCGAACGGGGCGAAGGCCAAGGGCACGGGCTCAGCGAGCTCCAAGGGAGGCAACTGGGCATGCAAAAAAGCAGCGATGCGAATAGATCTGCAAGAGGATAGCACGATGATGCGATCGAAATGAGCGGGGGGAGGGGAAAGATGATGAGGAAGATGATGATGATGATAATGAGGTGGATGAGGGTGATGAGTGGGACGAGGAGGGGATAAGGATGATGAAGTGGGCGATGACGGGGTCGTTGACGAGGGGGAGGAGGAGGATGAGAATTCGGTGATGAGGAGGATGATGATGTGAGGGAATGGCCACGTATGATGAGGAGGAGGGGGAGGATGAGGACGAGGAGGAGGAGGAGGAGGAGGAGGAAGAGGAGGAGGAAAAAGGATGAGGAGGCGGAGGAATGCGTCCGTCTCCTCATCAACTTCCTCTTCCGACCCCCATCCACACACCCTGCTCTCCCTTGTATATAGAAGCGTTTGCTAACCCGCAATTGGGGGTCCTCCTGCCTCCGCCTCCTCCTCTTCCTCCTCCTCTCCTCTTGACCTCCTCCACCTGTCCACCTTCCTCTCCTATCCTTCCCTCCCCTTCCCTCCTCCTTCCTTCCTGCCTCTTCGTCCTCCTCCTCTCCCTCTCCTCCTCCTCCCCCCTCCCTCCTCCCCCTCCCCCCACCCCCCGCACCCACCCCCCCCACCCCCCCCCACAACCCTACCCCCCCCCGCCCTCCCCTCCTCTCCCTTCCTGCCACTCCACACACCCTTCCTCCTCTCCCCTCTCCTCTTCCCTCGCTCCTCCTCACTCCTCCTCCTCCTCCTCCTCCTCCGCATCCTCATCCTCTCCCTCCTTCCCTTTCTCCGCCCCCCAATCACACTCCCTCACCACACCAGTCCCATCCACCCGAGCTCAAGGTCTTATTGCCGCCACCCCGCACAAAACACGATGTTGATCTTGTTTGGAACCCATAGGCAAGAAGTATTTCTCCTACTACAAGGATTACCTGAGCACGGATGACATGGTGGATCGCACGGCAAACCAGTTCACCTCGAGGGCGTACTGCGCCGCTGGCGTTCAGGCCAAGAGGGATGGGCTGAACGCTACCAAGTGCCGCGAGGCACAGAGGGAGGCGTACGCGGCGTCTCGCGCTGCGTACGACAAGTGGTTCTATTCGTAGGGTCGTCTCACCTGCGCTGTCGGGGTTAACGGGGGTGCGCCCATAGATTGTGGGCAGTGGGTCTAGCCGTGGGCAATAGGGCGCCACTCCAGGTTGGAACGCGCAGTTCTGCTATGCTATAGCAAGGTTTTCGCTTGCACCGCGCTCGCAGGACAACGATCCACATCTTTCCCCTCCTCTTCCTCACCCTCCTCCTCCTCCCGTTCAGTCACTTCCGCATTTCCCCGCGACCTCCCCCTGCCCTTGCTCAACATACAAGGTCAGCTAATATACCAAATATTCGACACACCTTACGCACTGATACACAAGCTGATGCGATCCGTTCATCATGTTCATCATCATCCTCCCCTTCCCCGCTGAGGAGGTTGAGGAGGAAGTCGAGGAAACCCACGAGGAGGAGGGGGAGGGCAAACGAGATGACGAGGGCGACGAAAATGAGGAGGGCAGGAGAGGAGGGCGTGGTTGGTTGGCGCATCATTTGGCGCAAGCGTTGGCACAACCTGCTGCGTCCTCTCATCCCCCTGGCCCCTGGCACCACAACATCTGTGTCCTGAAGCTTCCCCGTGGCCCCTGCTTTAATTCTGCGACCTCTCAGCCTCCGATCTGGCAATTCGAGCTCCTATCTAGACCCGCATCTGCTAAGCCTCCCCATGCCAGCTGGAGCTATGGCGTCTAGACGTCTTGCTCTAGGCCGTGGTTCCGTAGCCATTTAGGCTCGAGCATAAGCTTCAGGCGGCCGACCGTCGGCCAGTGCACTATGCCAAACCTTGCCTCGCGCGCTTCCCCGCCTCACGCGGCATGGCCACGATGCAGCAGGTCTCTGAGCTCCGCAAGACGATCAAGGATAAGGACAAGCTGCTGAACAAGGCGGCGGCAACCTTCGAGCGACAGGCCCAGCGACTCCGTGACTCCACGGAGGCGGGCAAGGCTGCGAAGCGTCGCCGCCTGCAGGCGGCCATAGACGAGACCGAGCGTGCCAGCGAGCACATCCGCCGTCTTGTGGCAAGTGTGGTCCCAGAGGCTATAGTAGCGGCACTCGACCCCGTCGCGCCCCCCCCGATCCCAGCCAGCTACATCCCGAAGGGCCAGCGGGGCGGCGCCCAGGCCGCCACAACGAGCCAGGCCGACACCAAGACCAAGAACACCACCAAGGGCGCCACCAAGACGCAGGCCGCCACAAGGAGCCAGGCCGACACCGAGACCAAGGACACCCCCAAGGGCAAGCGCCTCAAGGGGAAGGCCGCGGCCTGAGAGGACCCCAGCACAGAGCCAGAGTGAGACGCCGCCTGCTTGCGGCATCGGCTTGCTTGCGATGCCGCCTGCCTGTGGCGCCGATTGCGTCACCGCCTGCCTGCGACATCGGCGGTCCAGCAGCAGTGCATTCGCTCTCAGCTGCATCGGCCTAGTGACATCGCCACTGCCCGACACCTTGTATATAGGCTCGCAGTGATCTTTATGTCTGGCGCATCCAGCAGACCCTAAACATATGAAGCGGGCATTCTCTCCGACTTGAGGTGTCGGGTATTGTATGTTAGAGCGCATCTTGTTTAACTGAGCGTTTCGCCTGAGACGTCCTCGGGGCCAATGCACGGGCTGGAACACGTGAAACACGGCATGCTGGCGCGAGAAATACACGCACGCTAAACCACTGACTTCGAAACTAAATTGGCAGTTTGCGGTCATCACGATAACGGCGGCGCCGGCAACGACGACGGCGACGTCGACGACGGCGAACGACGACGGCGATGGCGATGACGACGACGACGACGCCGAGACCGACGACGACGATGATTGACGACGACGGCGGCGACGACGGCGACGACGACGACGTCGACGACGACGAGGCACCGAGAGCGCCCCAGACCCGAGCCACCCCCAAGGGAGTCTCCGCGGGCTCTTGCTGGAAATCCCGAGGCCCAGGGCCCAAGGGCAATCGAGTTGAGGGGCTTGCGAGATCCACTTTGCCCGCGGCGTAGCGCTCGATCCTCCAGCCGACATCCTCGAGCCCCCCCCCCCCCACCCGTCCCCCATCCTCCTCCTCCTCCTCCTCCTCCTCCTCCTAATCCCCCTGATCACCCCCCTCCCCATTCCCCTCCTCCTCCTCCTCCTCATCATCATCATCCCCTCTCTCCTCCTCCCCCCTCCTCCTCCTCCTCATCCCTCGTCCTCCTCCGCCTTCATCCTCCCTCATCCTCCTCCTCTTCATCCCTCGCCCTCATCGTTCTCCTCCTCACCCTCTCAATCCTCATCTCCCCCTCCTCCTCCTCCTCCACCTCCTCCTGCCCCATCCTCCCTCTCCTCCTCTTCCTCCTCCTTCACTCCTCCCGCTCCTCCTCTCCTCCTCCTCCTCCTCACACCTCCTCCTCCTCCTTCCTCCGCCTCCTCCTCCTCATCCTCCTCCTTATCCTCCTCCTCTCCTCCTCCTCCGCATCCTTTCTCATCGCCCTTTTCCTCCTCCTCCTCCTCCTCCCTCCTCCTCCTCCTCCTCCAGGGGTAGGACGTCAGCTATGACGCGAGCGCACCTAGCGTGTCCCTCATCCCCCTCTCCCACTCACAACCCACCCCTGCCCCGCCGTCATAGCCGTTTTGGCTCAATCAGCTGCGCGATTCGATGGAGCCTCCTCACAAGAGGGCCAGGCTCGCAGAATTTGGGAGAGACAGTTATCTTACATCAGCAGCACGATCTGCGGTGTTGAAAAAACTAGCGGAGGAGGACCTTCCAGAACATTGCTCTGCATCAACACATCGGCGGGCTATTCAAGATATTGCCCACCAGCAGAGTAGTTTCGGCAATTTGCTTCTGTTGGTCAAGGTGCCAGCCTCAAAAAAGGGAACCGTAGATGTGTGGGTGCAGGATCCGCTCGCTTTTCTCGAAGTTGCGATGCGGGACAGCTGCGATTTCAGGGAGGCAGTGGTGGATGCTTGGGACCGCAGCCAAAACAAAATGTCAATCATCGTGTATAGCGACGAGATAACACCAGGGAACCCGCTTCAGTCGTCAAACTTGCGAAAGGTCCAGTGCATGTACTGGAGTTGGCAAGAGCTCGGCTTCCCAACTTTACAGAATGAGCTCTCATGGTTCACAGCGTGCGCCTTGAGGGCCAGCGAGGTTCAGAGACTACCAGGCGGGATGGCAGAGCTGTACAAATATGTGCTCCGCTTTTTTCTGGGCCACCCGCGGAGCCGAGACCTTCGACACGGCGTTGCGTTTTTCGTTCCAGGTGAAGGCGCCGCGAGGATCTTGCATGGCGCGGTGTCGGTGCACATCGCCGACGAGAGGGCGCACAAATTTGCGACTGGTGCGAAGGGGGCCACTGGTATAAAGTTGTGCGGCAGGTGTCGAAACGTGTGTGTTCACTGGAGTAGCCTCATCCCTGACAGTGGCAATTACCTCATCGGCAGCGATTGCACGGACGTGGGGAAGTACGATCTGCACACCGATGAAGGCATCCATGAGATACAAGCGAGGCTGGCAGAGTTGAATGCGAATAACCCGAGCCGCTTGGCTGATATGGAGACCTTGTTCGGCTTTGCCTACATCGAGACTTCATTTCTACAGGACCCTGCCCTGATTTGAAGTTTCCCCTGGCTTCCTGCTGGGCGTGGGACTGGATGCATTGCTACTTGATCGGAGGGGTTTTCGCCACGGAGTTCGAGCTGCTGATGGGCCAGCTGCAATCGGTATACCTTGGGGCTTCCGCCTTCCACGCCTACCTTCAAAAGTGGGAGTGGCCGAAAGGGTATGCGCATGCTAAAAAGGTTTGTTTGAAGGGTGATGGGCACGACCCCAATGGATCGGCGTCTGAACTAGTGAGCGTGGTACCCGTACTGGAAAAGTTTCTGTCTGACGTTGTTCTACCCTCGGGCGCGTTCCCCGATCATGTGGCGAGTGGCTTGGCTGCTTGCCATGTGATCTCGCTGCTGTCGGTAGCAAACAGTCAGTGCGTAACGCCCGCCGAGCTGCACGATGCTATGCAGTTGCACTTGGCACTGCAGAAAAAGTGTTACAGCCTCAAGTCGTGCTGGAAACCGAAATCGCATTGGGTTACCCATTTACCTGAACAGATGGAGTCCCAAGGAATGCTGCTCAGCACGTTTTTACACGAACGTAAGCACAGGGTGGTCAAAACAATGGCCACAGGGCGCCATTCGACCACAGCTTACGATCGTGGGCTGATGGAAGAAGTTACGGTCCAACACCTTTCAGACCTCAAGCACAAACTCAGGGGTATCGACCTGCTGTCCCCCAGGCCGCCCAGCCGTAGGATGCTCGATGCTCTGAAAAGTTGCTTGTGGATTGATCCATCGTGGGAAGTTGTCACAGCTAGGTGCGCTTCGATCCACAGTAGGGTGATACAGATGGGGGACGTTGCAGCTTTCACGTTCGCCGACGGCACCGTCGGCTTCGTCCACGTTTGGTTTCACGTGCGAGTCAACCACCACTTGCTTAGTTGTGTTTCGCGGTGGCCGACGCTTGAGATGCGAGATAATCACGCGACGTGTGTTGTAGATAGCTCGCCCGTGCTCGTTCGGTCCACACATCTCATTGAACCTTGCATTTACTCTGCTGCGCCTGAAGGCCAGAGAACGTCAGTTCTTTTTCCAGGGCGGCTCCGAGTGAGAGCCGCCCGAAAGCTTACTTGAATAACGGAGGGAGTGGGAGGAGGGAGGAAAGGAATAGTATATACCCGCCGTACACCCCACCCCACACCCCTCCCCCCTCCCCTGTGGAGGGCGGGTCTCACGGTATACCTGAGGGAGGGGGGCAAGGGGATGGGAAGGGATGAGAGGGGAGAGAGGGTGGGATAAGGGATGGCGGGGAGGAGGGAGGGAGGGGTACAGCGAACGAAAGAGGGGTGGTCCTGAGGGGATTGCACCGCCGTCGTCATTGTCACCAACATCATCGCCATTATGTTCACCATCATCGTCATCATCATCACCGTCGACCGTGTCGCCGTCGTCGTCATCGTGATTATCATCACCTTAATCGTCACCACCAT